GGAAGCGGAACAGACAGAAAAGACATTACCTACCCTTACGTCCGGTGTAAGTCGAAAGAAAGCTGCACCTGCTACTACCTACCTACTAGTAAATTTCACGATCGCTGCTCGAAGTGTTCGGGAATTGTTTTTCCGAGTGATACGAATCTAACTCGTTCGTGCATCATCGATAAAAATCCATTTTTTGAAACACCTTCAACGGGTGAAAGTAGCAACACGTCGTTATCAATCATGATATTATCGCGTGTATCATTATATTGCTCTATTATACTCGAGCGCTTCTGTGTATAAATTTGTATACGTTTCTCATATACACATAATACTTGAGTTTCATCTTCTCGAAGCGAATGTTAAAGTTGTTGAAATTGAACGTAGATATCGGTTAACGATCGGTTGTTTATTTGCGCTACTAGCCCGTGGCGAAAGACCCTTTCACTCCCATTTCATAGCACAACACACACAAACACACACTTCAAGTCTATTTTCTATTTTTCCGCAAGTTGAGCTCATCTCTCATACCGCCCAGAGCCGCGGGCGAGCTGTTGATCGGCATTCATAGGACAAGCGATCTATACATCTTTTTTTTTTTTTATTACCAAAAAATAAAGCAACTCAATATTGACGTCTTTATCTCTCTCTGTTATACGCACACTGGAATCTCCGGTAATTGACAGATCCACGGAGCAAATGCGATTTCTTATCGTACAGGTGTACCCGAGCGCGTTTAACGCGCTTCTTTATTACGTTATCGTTGCGCACCCATTATCCTGTGAGATACAAAACTATACTTTGGTACTATTATAATCCGCAATAGAAGTTTGTTATCTCAGAGAATTTAATTTTGAAAATTTTAATTTTAAAACATTTAATTCACGCAACACACACTGACATTGCCCAGTTGAATAATTTTAGATTATTGTTTATATTTAAAAAGATAAGGAGAAGGCAATAACGAACTACACCTTATGTTCGAGTAAAATTCTTCTTTGATGTGAGGATTAAAAAAAAGATATCAACGTTTCGATCCACTGTGGGATCTTCTTCAGTGTCTCTACATAAAAAAAATTACAATGAATACATGATCTATTCGCGACGATAATGAATATATGCTTATATGTAACTGTATAAGACAGAAAATAATAAGAGGCCAAACATTGTATGTACGTGCGAAATATTTTGTAACGTGTAAATGAATACACATTGTAATTCGAGAATTAAACTCAATTCGAAAGTCTACAATTTAGATGCTTAAGTTGCATCTCGTAGAAACGACTCACTCTTTTCCCCCTGTGAAATTTATAAAACCATCTGCGATAAAAAAACACACCTTAACCAGAAGTTCGGACGACTTTCTGTGCAGTCGTCTTACTAGTTTTTTTTTATTTTTAATGTTTGTCAGTGTGTTAATTGTACATCAGATATACCAGTGTGATTGTATATCAAATAGTATCTGACTACTATACGAGATGCATTTTCTTTGCAAAATAACAGGTTTGACGATTTTAATATTCATTTTTCGAATGGACAGCGTGCGTCAATTATTTACAATGCATTTTGATGAAATCGATTATATATACGAGCTCGCGCGCATGCACGCGTTGATACATTTAATTAAATAATAATTTCAGCCTGCGCATAACGCAGATGACCCGAAAATTTCCGAGCTGTCTAATTAGCCCGTCCAGTGCGATCGACCACGATCTGATGCGTCGACACGACGCTTAATTTTCTATATACGCGCCGTTGTGGCGCACACGCGTGCAGGAAGATCGCTACCACCACAGACTTGAGAGGAGTTTCGCCTTTGCGATCGTGACGAAAGGGAAAGAAAGGGCCTCCCCCACCACGTTTGAGAAAAGAGTCCGACTCGTTACAAGGCGTCAGGTGCCCGCAACCGTTGACGCGCGGCTGTGCATATACTAACCCCAAGAAGAAGCAGCGCGTTATAATAATGTATACCATTAATGCGAATACAAGGAGGCGCGCCGCATGCGTGTCTTCCGAAGGAGCGTCGCGCCACTCTGCCCTTAGACTTCCCCGGGACCATGTGCGCACCTCTGCGAAATGCGAAGGGCGTTTAACGGTCGGCGGAGCGCCGTGTACATGTACGTTTTTCGGGACACGTCGAGCAAGCACCAGCTGATCACCGTTCGTTCGCTCGCTTTCTATTTCGAGCCATGTGCTTCCCGCGTTTTTTCACCACCGGGCTAGACAATTTTTCATTTCTTCCTTTTTTTTCGTTACCCTCTTACAAGTTCGTTGACTCGTATCTTTCGTCGACTCAAACTGACGTCTCGAGTCGGAGCTGAGAGAGTTGTATCGCAACTGTGTGTATGTGAAGATAATGATATAATGATACTAAAGTAGTTTTTCACAGAAGTATATACATATATAACTTTGTTATTCACATTTTCTCTCGCGACGATGTGCGATAAACACTTGTACATTTTTTTATGCGCCGTCGATGTCAATCGACAGTTTGATTGACGTCGATCAGCAAACGCTGTGAAAGAAGAAAAGAAAGCAAAACAACACAAACGGAAAAAAAAACACAAATATACATACAAATAATTTTCTCATAAAAGAGGTTTGTTTTAAATATGTAATTTTAATTAATAAATGAGTTTCGAGACTGCCGAAGAAAAGGCAATAAATAAAGCTGATATTACAGATGTTTCAGCAGAGAGCTTTCCAAAGCTGGAACTTAATTGCAAACTACAAACGAAGTTCTGTTTTACTTGGACGATGCTCCCTTACTGCCGTGTGTTATTAAACTAAAACTGAGATGTGGATGATGGTTCAGTTCGAGGTCAAAGGATGGGAAGGTGACGAAGTGGCGGCAAAGGGTGTCGGACGCGGGAACGTTGCACCTTACTAGCGAGCACAGGTGCCACAGATGTTTCAGCAAGTGCAATGAACGCTCGTAGAACGGGCATTAGAACTGTTGCAGACGGCGAACGCAAAACACAGGGGCAGTGAAGGGGTGCATAACTATTCGACTAAAGCGAACGCGGTGAGGTGTTGCACGTTACTTTTAACGGCGCGACCGTTGAAGCAGGTTGTGCGACAGGTTGCGCACACGTGTGACTTCATTATCAGAGGTCTCTTTTAGAAAAAGCGCAAATTAGATCTAACTGCGTGGTGCGGATGCGCGAATTAGCTTCAACTTCAAAAATAGGGAAAAGATACCATCTTCATCATCGTTAGCTCTGTTTCACGCGAAACAGAGTTTCAGATGATCCATCCGTGATATTTTTAATAAATAAATAGATAGATATCTATCTGTTTTTTAATAAAATTTTTTAATACAATTTTAATAAAATGCACGGTATCTTGTCAAAATGTTGTGCATATACATCTGTGACTGACATATGAGTTCTGCTCTATTCTTAATGCAAAAAACTGTGTTTTTGAATATTTTTAGTTTTACTGTAGTTTTATTTCTAGTTTTGTCTACAAACAAGTTTGTCCGCGTTCAAACGCAGTTTCATTTTATCATGCGTGGTCAATATGACGTAAGATTTCCTTACTTTGTTCTCTGTGAGAGATAACAGAGGCTTTTGTTGTTTGGAAGATCAATGCCTATAATTTTCCGTCAAAAAAATTTTTACCAATGAAGACCAATTTAACTCTGGAATTGTGTCTGTATATGAATTATAACGTACGTATTGCGTTTCGGTATCTCTTCTTCGGTTTCTAATAAAGTTCTTCAGTTACTTCAGTTTCATTCCAAGATCGATTTTTGGTGAGTCGAATTTAATGCGCTTTCCGTTTTGCGCACCGCGTGCGGTATACTCAATGATGGAGAAACGTACACTGATTCGCAGTTAGTCGGTGTTATAATATGTAGCGCGATGTATGCAGTAACTTTGTCCAAAGCTCAATTTTAGCGACGGCGACGGCGGTGGCAGGAGGGCGGAGGAAAGTTTTGTTCTGCGCAGGAAGCGTGGTTCCGGCTCTCTCGGTTCCTCCCATAACGGTGACGGTGTGAACTTCGTGGATCTCGCCGCGCGATTGCGACGGACTTTTTCGGCGGGGTTTGATTGCCAGTGCTGCGCGCCGTAATTAAACGACCGATCATTAAACCATCCCGTCGCCGCATATACGAAACATTTAACGACACGACGAATTTAGATCTGAGTTTGACCTCCATAAGTACTCACGTTTCAATCAGCGACGTACATGTACGACGTATAAACATTCTTTTGTCTTTTGCTAATTATTGTTTTTTTTTCGAAGATACTAATAGATAAGTTTAAGCAGACTTTCTGGAGAAAAATCGTTCTAATGTGTCAAATATACTTCACGAGTTGTTAGAAGGTGAGAAAATACGACACACATTAAGCGCGTCAATTGGCATTGCGAATACGACGTGTCCAATGGTTGTTTTACCTTGCCTCTGGCGCGGCACACTTGAGTGTTTCCGTCTTAAAGTTCAACAGTAAGAGATTTAGCATTTTGACGGAAATCTCTTTAGTTCCTAAATTTTATCACGACGCAGAAAGAATCCTCTTGCTCATGTCTCGGTGAGGGCGGTATGACACAAACATACGTAGTGGAAGACTGGGAAAGAGAAAAGAGAGGGGCCCATTTTCATCGTACTTCTCTCTTTCTCTCTGTCCCTTCCTCTTCCTCCCCCTTCCCGTCTCTATGCTTCCGCGCTAAACACCTCCTAGTCATTTTGTCTCTGTCTCTCTTTCTTGCGGTCCACTGATATCGCGAGAGGTCGCGGCGGAAAGGAGGGACAGGTAAGTCGCGGCACACGAAGGCTCCATGTAAGAGAGAGAGAGAGAGAGAGAGAGAGAAAAAGAGACAGAGTAAAGGCGAGAGGGAGGAAGGGAGGGAGAGAGGGAGAGAGAGAAAAAGATAGAAGGAGGAGAGGGGCATCTAAAGCGACTCAAAGCGACTGTGGAGGGAGACCGGTAAAGCGGAGGTGAAGCGCGACCGGCCCTCTCTACTCCACGGGCCCAGGCTAGTCCAGTCCGGGACAGCACGCCTCCTGCTGCACGCTCCACGAGGTAGAACGTAGAGACGACGTTAGGACGCACGACGTTACGCGCGCGGGCCTAGACTGGCGAACACGTAAGGCCCCCGTAAGGCCCATTTCTCGCTCACCGTCCACGCATCGGCGCGCCGCGTCGTCACGCGTCGAACACAACGAAATTTCAGACTTTTCAATCTCGAACGAATTTTGTCACGAAAGAAAGGTGTTTTGTTTTCTCGGTTACTCTCGTAAAACGGATTTACTCGCGAAACTTGACCTGTCTCTTTTTAGTAACTCGGCAACAATCGGCTCGCGACTTCACTCACACGTTGATAGTTGAAAAAGTTACAACACATCTTCAACAATATAGACATCGATCTGTGCGTTTACACTGTTTTTCGAAATAGTCTCAAAAGAAATTTTTCGTTCGATGATGGAACACTCGGCATAAGTCACGATACCATCTACGAGATATCCAATCCAATCAGAACGGAGAAGTGACGGAGTTTCTCTTTGGAGTGCACTGTCTGTCAATCCTGACGAAGGCAATTTTCAACTGCACATGCCACAACCGACCGCGACTGAAGGATCGCCGATCGTTTCTTCGTCCAAAGTAACAGCCGATTCATCGAAGACTCCGCGACCTGTAGTCTCTCACCAAGACGACAACATATCATCGCCCCCACCCGGGTGCACCACGCGTCCAGCCACGCGATCAGCGGGATCAGCGATCCGGAAGGTTTCGCACGGCAACAGTGATCAACGAGCCGGGTATTCTTAATGGACACCTGATCCACGGTGATTGACCACGTTTGTCTACCCGCATCGAGCCACGGCATTAACAGAATGACACTGATTTCGTCGGAATTCTGAAGTCTTCTCGCGGGATTTTATTTCCACTCGAGAAAACTTCGATTCCCGTTCCCGGGATTTCAATGACGCGCTTAGAAAAATATTTCTTTGAAAATTAAATAATTCGGAATTGCACGGTAGCGAGGTGAATCGGTCGTATCCAAGGGAGTTCGCGTCAGGTGGTGCTGTGACGATTTGCACGTGTGGAACTGGTGCGGGTATGAGAGACTGTTGTACGCGGTGCGACGGAATACCTGAACGGTGAAGTGAGCCGCGGGGTGTTCAGTGAGCGCGCACTTGGAGAGACTTCAACGCTCGGCGAGAAGATAAGCGAGGGATATAACCAAACGGCGAAAACGTCCGCGACGACGACCACGACGACAAGGCTATTTGTATTCAGGTAAGACTTCCCTCGATAAGAACCGAGGTGGACTAAAGTAACTCCTCCCATTGACGTTACGATAGAGGGTCGTTGTTATCAACTAGCGATGATTTATCGCGGTCTGATGGATCGCGTAGAAACGTCGCAAGGCCAATATGTTTTATTACGTTTGTTTTGCAATCATTCAAGATTCTAATGTTGTAACAAAGAAAATTGTTTTATTGTACATTCCGATAAAAGTTGGAAGAGTCTTGTTTATTTACTTATTTTATGTAAAACATTTCGGCTTTCAACTCGCACAAACTTTGAACTGGACTATTTAAAATATGTATATCGAGAGGATATTGACCCGCCACAAATATGAAAAATTACACGCGCATTTAACCTTCATAAATCGTGAATGAAGCAGCGCACTATGGTCACCAGCACGCAATAGCCCGCGCACACATACATACGCACGCAGCGGGTTACAATCTGTGTTTACATTCGCCAATTACAGATAGCCGCTCGTACGCAATAATGATAGATCTGCCGGCGTGGCTAATGACTGGCGAGTTGCCCGTTGCAAAAAGTGACGGTGATTTTCGAACGAAGAGGAGCGCGATCCGCGAAGCCGAGCGACGGCGCGATTGTGCGAAGAAAGAGAAAGAGCGGAAGTACAGGAAGATATGAGATTGAGAAAATGAAAATATATAGACGGACACATGTGTGAGCGAGCTATAAATTACCGAGAATTCTGACGTGGTCTTTCTTGATTTATTGCAAAAACATAAGGTATGGTAAATACGTTCGTCTTAATTAAAAAAAAAAAAAAAAAACACTTTGTTTGATAATAAACTGATGTCTACGCATTTTTTTCAACAGTTTCAAAAATCCTCGGCAATTTATGAACACGGTGTGACACATTTGTGAATATTTGAAAATAAGGCGAATATAACAAATTGACTTTTTCTCTCTTTCTCTTTGTCTCTCTTTGATATTTTCTGACGGTGACAGTCGCTTGCTTTTCTTTTTTGGATTCTACATTCATACGCGTTTCACGCAATAAAATATAAGAGTACGTATGTCAGGTAGATCCGATATAATCTCAAGTAGAGTAGAGACGGATAATTACACGGCATAATTATTTATCAGATTATTCTCTCAAATTATAGATACATCATTAATATTGCCGGCATTAAAAGCGTTATTCGAACAAAATTAGTTTTTATTAATTTTAACGGTCGAACATTTGTTCGTCGATTTTTCTCGAACAAGCTTTATTGTTCTTTTTTTTTTTTTACATTGCTTGTTGCCAGACCTATCGTTTTTTTCGTACAATAAAATTATCGGGCCGATAAACTATCTCCGATAAACTATCTCCGATAAAAGATCTCCGACGTACCGGTGATTTTTGTTCCGGTGATTTGTCGAGATTAACGGGTGCATAATTTTGTGAGAAAAAAAGAACAATTTTGATAAAACCGAAGAAACGAGCAGAATTATTTGTAACATGAGCCATTTGGCAACAAAAACGATCAGATTATGGACAATAAATGACTTAAATAACAAGATCTGATTTACATTCGGTTTACATCTGGTTCTTCGGGGTTGTCAGCTGCAATATTTTCGCATCAAACGGATAAGATCGGCAACGATCAACATTCAGACCAGATCAGTCTTGATGCTTCTTTCCTTTCGTCCGTTATTCAAAAAAAATTTCTATCTAATCGCGAATAAGTGGCATCTGCTTTTCACCCTTGCGCCTTTGTCTACCGCGCGCTACCCTGTACGTTCACCCCAAGACAACTGACTTCTTTAAGGGCAGTTGCGCGGCGTCAGGTGGCATTCGTTAAAATCGTCGACCGAAAGTCGTTGGCAGTTAAGGGAACATGGGTTGACAGTTGATATAGCGACGACGACAACGATTTCGTGTTGTTCTACTAAGAAACCGTCATTAAGACCGATAATAACGTTCTATCAACAGCGGCTGATAAGTACATCGATAGCGATGCAAAGTACTTGTAAAAAATTGTAATCGTTACGTTTTAACGATTTATAATTTCCTTTTATATAATTGTTCCATATATTCTTTTGATTACTTTATCATCATAATTATATGAGTTTTTTTCCATATTTAACTGATCGTCGAAGCTATCGGGACTTTGATATTTATTCAAGATCATTAGACATATTTCACAATATTCTTTTCGAGAATGTCATTGTCGTAAATATGTTCGCGTGTTGATCATAGATAACATCCATCAGCCGTGGATACGACAAAATCCCGAGCCAATCGTATCTGAAAGACGACGGTTTGTCGCGGGCACCATTATCACAGCTGGACATTCGCATAATTTCCTACTGTCATTCCGCATCTATAAGCCTACAACTCATTCCGCTAAGAGGAAGAAAGGACGCGGATCCACAAGTGCAAGTGGCTCGATTGAGAATTTCAATAGTTCCTTCACGTCTCGTGGAATGACGATTCGAGACGTTGCAATAAAGTTGCAACGTAAGCGACTGTCACTATTAACGCCAAATAAAACATATAGTAGTAGCGGCAAACGTTGCTAATGCAATTTAACAAAAGAAATTATTTAATCGTGCAATAATTTATCTTTATCGTATCTATATAGTGCGTGACATTAGCGCGTAAGAAAAAGATAGAAGAAGTTCTCTCAACATTAATATATTATTGATTAATATTATCTACAAAGAAGGGAGAGAAATCCAATTTTCTGCTGTAGCTACAGTAAAATTTTTCTGAATATAGAAATAAAACCGATATGATTCTAGAGTTGCGGATTATATTAGGAAACTCATTTAACAATATTTGTAAACAATACATTGATTGATAAATTGTCTCAGTCTTCGATCGATTTAATCGAAGGGAAAATCATATTTTCCTCGATAGTCGCGATCGGATATTTTAAATTCGGAACAGCAGTAGAATTCGGAGCCTTGGACTTTTTTTTTTAGATGACTTTCTCGCTATATGTGCACGTCGCAGATGCAGAACGTAATTTTATTTTTATCGACTATATATATCTAAACGTGTTTTTTTTCCTTACGGAAATCTCGATTGAATCGCGCGACGTAATTCTCCGATGACGCGGCAATCTGTAACTCGTCACGTTCCGCTCGTCTTCAATCTGAATGAGATAATGTTCACTTTCGCAAAGAAGTCGCTCGATTGGTAGACGGAATATGCTATCATCTTCACAACTCGTTGTGTAATTATAGATTTCAGTTACATATATATATATATGTATATGTATATATACATATCCGATCTCAAACATCGTAAGACAATTCGGCCAATTGCTCATTCTATTGTCTAATATGCGGCGCGTGTGGAACACTGAGAATTTACGACGTTGCAAACTGTGGCGTTGGATAATCATTTACCGCCTTATACTATTTATGTTTTAAAGCAACGAACGACGTATTAAGACGTTATTACGCGTGCCGTATAAAATGTTTGGAGAAATTATGAACGCGTAACTTGCATACTATAACATCGTTAAATATATATGTATAATAATTTCGCTGGGAATAATATTTCACGACAGTGTTAAATCTATCTATATGTATTTTTTTATCAATTTAATATATAATTTTACAGATTTACCAAAAAAGTAGAAATATATTTCTCTCTTAATCAAACAAACTGTATTTGTTTAAGATGTATGGATAATTTATGAGCAATGAATATAAAACAATAACGATCAATATGTATTGCATAAATATTGCGTCTGCTTCCTGATAGACGTCTAATCTACTGAGAATCCCGTTATAATTCCGGACTGTCATCGAGAATTGGCGACAAACGACTTGCGACCATCGATCGGAATAACGCGCGGAATGTAATCTGAATAATGATCGATTTGATCTCATCCCTTGCCGCACGCTTTTCGCGAGGTGGTTAATTAGCGTCGATTTGTTACTCTGAGAAAAGTTTGATGGAAAACTGTTGATTCAAAAGTGGCTCTGTATCACTCTGTATCGATCTCAGTTGTGTGTGTGTGTGTGCGCGCGCGCGCGCGCGTGTGAATCAATATATTGAAAACTATGTATCAACTTTGGGAAAAACCGCACGTTTTGTATAAAAAACGAGATTAATTTGTCATCATTATCGTCGTATTTGCTATCGTCGTTATACAATGTTAACACTTTACGTGATGACTAATCGGCTCGAAAGCAAACAACTAGTTTATTCTGGCGCAAATATGTTGTCACTATTACCGGCTTGGTAACCTCTAAGCCGATTAATAGGTTTCCGGTCAATAGGCGCTGTTAGCAAACCGTCTATTTTTAGGAGGTCGATTAACCGGCAACTGCGTGCGTTCTTGCAGCATGTGATGCGCAGCACGGAGCCGCCGCATCCTCGCATCTTCCCGACTTGCTGTAACTGCACTATGTGCAGCGCAGAACTGTCGTGTGCGCGCGAGAGAGGTACAGGTAGCTCTCTCGGATCTATTTATAGTGGCGGCGGTGTGTTCACGCTTGCGCTAGCCGCTCGAGAGCACGGGAGAGCTCGAGAACGCGTTTGCAAATGCCGTTCATGTCCAACTGTACGTACGCGCGCCACACCTGGCCCCAATTGCGCGCGTTTCTACCTATGCGTGTCTATTTCCCGCGAACCGGCAAGTATCTTTGCGCGGGAGATACTGTGTTCCGCGCGAATACGACAATCGTCGATCAATTCTACTCGTCAATCAAGAATAGCTCGCACGTGAATATGACGTTTCGCGCGAGCGCGCATACGGTTGTTTTAAAAAACTATTAACTAAATAATGTTGGTACTTATTAAAGAGTTTATTATCTTGATATCAGATTTTTTAACTTGTCTATTTTTCCAAAATTTATGGATTTTTCATTACAGTATTTTTTTTATCAATTGTTCTAATTGCAACAGGCACAGATTTGCCATCGAAATTCCGTAAAGCATGCACAGGTTTTTTTTCACTCGAACAAATCTCGTGAGTATTGCGCTACAGGTTCTTGTGTAATAACAAAAAAAATTGTTTACATGT